TATGTCTAACACTAACAGAAAAACAGAAAACTATTTCTAATTGCACAATGATACCATCAGAATCTGCCTTCATCTTCTTTCTCCTAATTTTTGCTTCGTATTGATTTTTAAATATATATTTATCTTTTTACCTTCTGTATCCTCTGGTGAAGCCATGATCAAAGCAAATTTCTTCTTTTCTATAATAAGGGTAATTACGTTTGCCAGAGCTTTCTTTAGGGACATCAATAAAGTCGTCGCCTCACGATGAAAAAAGCAGTTATTTTACATAATAAATTATTTATTTTTCTACTTAATATCCTTCCTTGACAATGCACTTAATCCAACCCTTCTCTATAGAGCCCGTAGATTGAACATTATACAGCGAAAATTTCCTTTAAAAATTCAGCTACTGACTCCGTATCAGACGATGAATATACTGATTTACCTAAGTTAATAAATACGGAGGGATTTAATAAGTCTTTAGCTTAATGATGACCAAATATATATTTTTAAAATATATATTTACTCTTCGGCATAACCCTCTTCCTTGTCAATGCACTTCATTCATTAGTGCTTGTTAATAACTTAACTCGAACATTATATAATAGAAATTTCAGATCAAAATTCATCTAATATAAATTGGTACTGAAAAATTCTCGATTCAATCAAGAAGGGAATAAAAAAATCTGATATTTCGTTATTTTGTAAAAATTTGGGAAGTCGCTCGTACCGAGAACTTTTCAGTATCTCCTCATATCTGTGTATGAAGTTACGGACTTACTGTTTAGCGGCATATCAACATCCTTATGGGCATTTAATGCCGAAATTTAATTTTCTTGGAAGCATTAGTAATTTCTTTTACAGAAATGTTAAGCAACATCTAATCTGGTTTGTACCTAGATGGGTGACCGCTTGATGACAATATAAAACTGCCTAAGAAGAGGATTTTGAGTTCGTTTGTTTAGCGGCAGATCAACATCCTTATGAGTCATTTAATGCCGAAATTTAATTTTCGTGGCAGCATTAGCAATTTCTTTTACAAAAATGTATCGCTGGTAATATATTTTTTTCTAAATGTGTCGCTGGTAATATTTATTCTTTTTTTCAAAAATGCATCGCTAGTAATATTTTTTTTTCAAAAATGCATCGCTAGTAATACTTTTTTTTATATGTATTGCTGGTAATATTTTTTCTTTACAAAAATGTATTGATGATAATTTACAAAAAATGTACAGAGGGTAAGTTTGTTATTATAAAAATGTATTGTTTGTATTTTTACTATAAAATGTATTTTTATATTTTCATAGTGTTTGGACACCAGTTTTGGGGCCAACTATTTTACCATAGCTGGGACCCTAACAGGTGCTACCACCTTAGTCCAGGTGGACCTGGGAACAACAGCAATTAAGAGGTGGTTCCTCGCTCCTAAAAAGCTCCAATCTTCCGATCAGAGTCCTTGCTGCCAGATGTAGTTTATCGTCATACCCAAGACGAGGTTTTATTGAACCACTCTCATATGTAGCAATATACACTTAATTATATCATTGTTTTCGTTTGTGCGTGTGTGTGTGCATGTTTAAGTGTGTATGCGTTTATGTGTTGACGTTAAGTTTATAAATTCCTCTAGTCCTCGATTAAAGTTTTAATTCTTACTCATAGGCAAAGTGCGTTCAAAGAAAGCAACATTTTTATAACAATTCTGCGCCCTTGAACTTGTCACGCTGAGCGGTCTTCCCCCCTTCGAATTTAGGTCCGCCAATGAGGTTAAGATATTTCGATATCGCCAGCAGTCGCGTAAGGTTTGTTGTGAGCAGTTTGCCGAGTCAGTAGTTGAAGACAGATCTTAAAATTCAAATTCCCAATATTCTTTTGTTAAAGTATCAATCGGTTACGAATAATTTCAAGTGTATTTTCCACGCTGACAACGATTCATTACAACCTTCTCTAGCAAATGGAGGTTAAAGGAATGAAAGGAGGAAGCCATAAAACTAATATCTATAACTGAAAATTTATTTCTTTATCAAGAATTTTTAAATAATATGTCTCTTCAATGTCATATCTCTTCAATGTCATATCTCTTCAGTGACATGTCACTTCAATGTCATATCTATTCAATGTCATATCTCTTCAATGCCATATCTCTTCAGTGACATGTCTCTTCAATGTCATATCTCTTTAATGCCATGTTTCTTCAATGTCATGTCTCTTCAATGTCATATCTCGTCAATGCCATATCTCTTCAGTGACATGTCACTTCAATGTCATATCTATTCAATGTCATATCTCTTCAATGCCATATCACTTCAGTGACATATCTCTTCAATGTCATATCTCTTTAATGCCATGTTTCTTCAATGTCATGTCTCTTCAATGTCATATCTCTTCAATGCCATATCTCTTCAGTGACATGTCTCTTCAATGTCATATCTCTTTAATGCCATGTTTCTTCAATGTCATATCTCTTCAATGCCATGTCACTTCAATGTCATATCTCTTCAATGCCATATCTCTTCAGTGACATGTCACTTCAATGTCATATCTATTCAATGTCATATCTCTTCAATGCCATATCTCTTCAGTGACATATCTCTTCAATGTCATATCTCTTTAATGCCATGTTTCTTCAATGTCATGTCTCTTCAATGTCATATCTCGTCAATGCCATATCTCTTCAGTGACATGTCTCTTCAATGTCATATCTCTTTAATGCCATGTTTGTTCAATGTCATGTCTCTTCAATGTCATATCTCTTCAATGCCATATCTCTTCAGTGACATGCTTCTTCAATGCCATATCTCTTCAATGTCATATCTCTTCAATGTCGTATCTTTTCAAACCATAGTCGATCATGGCTCCATAGATGCCTTTTGTTTATTATGTGTGAATTGCCATTATTAGTTGGGGAAGAAAATGGTGTGATTTCTCGTTTCCTGCTCCTGTTTACCTGCAATTGATAGCTTTCACATTTTAAAACTATTTGGATAAAAGGATAATACCTGCCGCTTCTTTCAAGTTTCTCACTCTCCGGCAGTGTTCTCTCTATTATTTGACTTTCTTCCCAGCGGAGAAAATCTATAGTGGAGTGGTTTTCTTTGCCTTCTTTTTCTTTTACTTTTAATTTGCATATTTGGCGTCATTTATTAGGTTAATTTAAAAATATCCAACTTTATCTTTTTCATTGATGCAGGCGAAATCTCAGAAGTGTCGGTGATTTTTAGTAGGTTTTTCACCGCTTGTTCGTGCATGCATTTTAAAAATTGTTTTGTGGAAAATTGGTAATTGTATTTCACTTGTGAAAATCATTGTCGAATATGAAATGCACTGTCAACTGATTAGTCTTTCTGTGCAGCAGAAACTAAGTCACGAATTGCTGAAACTTATGGATGCAGTAGATGAAAACATATGTCGAGAAAGTTTTGGGAAAATTTAGGATGATGGCGATTGTTTGTATCAAAGAGAAAAGCCCAATCGTTTCATGTACGAATCAGAGCATAGCTTCACGGTAATAAAGACGCATATCAGATTTACATGGCCATAGTTACAACATCCCGTCAGTTGTTCGAATTAGTCATTGTTTTCGTTGGCTTTGTTATTATCACTGTGTCCAACCGATGTGTTGGGCAACCTACTTCAAATATACAATTGAATGAAAAGCAACTATTTTTCTTTTCATAAATAATGGCGAATAGAAAAGAATAGTGGTCAATATACCGATTAACTTGGCTTATAATCAATAACCATAGACTATAGCATTCTAAACAAACAAGTAACATCAGGGACTCCATATTATATAGAGAGTTTCTCCAATTCCTCTACTGAGCAAAGAAAATGACAATGTATTGAAATCTACATAAGCTTTACACCAATGGAATAATATCTGCCGCTTCTATCAAATTTTCAATTCTCCAGCAGGGTTCTCTGTCTATTATTTAAATCTCTTCCTAGAAAATATGTTTTCTTTCATTTCCAGCCAACATATCTCTCCACAGATTCCTTTTCTTTATAATCTGTGAATTGTAATGACTTCTTTAAAAATCGACACGCCGATTCTACATTTCGCGCAGATAACAGTTACTCCAGATCGGGTCAACCCCACCAGACTTTTCTACCTCCTCGTTGGGTTGTACCTTTGTGGTCGTTCGTCAAGCGCTTGGTACTTTCATATGATTAGTCACGTTTATATTGATTGTTATAAATGCAATCTTTTGTCAAACACTTCTTCTGTGAGACTAAAAATGTTGATAGCAGCCAATACTGCTATTGTGACACTTTTCATATTTGAATAAATATTCAACCCACAATAATAATTGTAACAGGCAGTAAACTAAAAAAAAAAATCTTAAGACTTAAATTTAAGTATTTGACTACAGTAAATGGATATAGTGTTTGGTGAACGGCGTAGACAGGGCCAGCAGGACATACGCTAATTTTATATCTCGTGTATTTTATATTAAAATTACCTTCAAAATTCGCATGATACGCGAGTATTTTTCATAATCTGTCTATCGAGCTATGTCTGTAAGTGCGTACATGTACATCTAACCTTCCATATATATATATATATATATATATATATATATATATATATATATATATATATATATATATATGCATATATATATAACATTGAAGTCAACACTCAGAGGCGACAGGCTGTTTCATGCTAGACGCAGTCATCAGGCGTCCTGACGATTGTGTCTAGCATGAAACAGCCTGTCGCCTCTGAGTGTTGACTTCAGTATTCACTTTTACATTTATATCTACATACGCTCTATCCCTGTTGTGGAACACTTTATCCCATAAATATAGCACACCTATACCTAGGGTAATTATAAAATTTGGGTAATTATAAAATTTGGGGTAATTATAAAATTAGGGTAATTGTAAAACTAGGGTAATTGTAAAATTAGGGTAATTATAAAATTAGGGTAATTGTAAAACTAGGGTAATTGTAAAATTAGGGTAATTATAAAATTAGGGTAATTATAAAATTAGGGTAATTGTAAAACTAGGGTAATTGTAAAATTAGGGTAATTATAAAATTAGGGTAAATTAAAACTAGGTAATTATAAAATTAGGGTAATTAAAAATTAGGTAATTAAAAATTAGGTAATTGTAAAACTAGGGTAATTGTAAAATTACGGTAATTATAAAATTAGGGTAATTGTAAAATTATTTGTGTTGATTCGCATCGAAACATGACTAAAATTGTGTAGCGATTTTGTCATGTGAGAATCTAAGGGAATTATAACCCATTTATGGAAAATAACTTCTTAATTTTTGCTTCTTCACTTAGTTTAAATTTAACGTAGGTCATATTTGATTGGTTGATCTGAGAAGACCCCGCAAACCTTATACCCAGCCGCCTTTCTTTTTCTTTTGTCCTAAAAAAAGGCTGTATTTTGCTTTTAAATTTTAATAAATCTTCCACTCGCCAGTAATTTACAATCCCCTGATGAGATGCATTTGATACGCATCGAAACACGACTGCAATTGTGTAGCGATTTTGACATGTTTTGTCGATGTAATATCCTGATATTGCTCTTCTTTGTAATGAGCACCCTCTTTTAAATTAAATGTTACGAAAGTTGCAATTATACTCTATTCATTCTCATCTGGATATATATATATTTATTTATTTGGGCTATAATTTTTCAGTTATATAACTTTGGTTAAAAAATAACGAAATTTCTTTGTTAAGTATTTATTTACCGTAGATATTTAAATATGAATAGTCCATTGTCGGAGTACTTATGGCCATTGGTAGCTATTATTAAACACTTTTTTTCGGCAATGTCGGTTTCTTCATTTTTAAATATCGCGTTTTCACGCCTTCACATGATGGCTCGTATCATCGGTAATTTTTTTTATTGAAATATATTTAGCATGTTTGTTCTAGAATTTGATTTCTTTTTATTGATGTCGGGTTGTTTGTTTTTTTATGAATAATGCTTTTAATATAGTCCTTAAAATCATTTTCTTACAATTTATGTGATACACCGGGCACGGTATAAAAATTTAGCCATTATTTAAATATAAAAAATGAACTATTATTTAAACATCAATTGAAACAAAATTTCGCAAATTTTGCATAAGGCTTTCTAATATTCTTTTGTTTTTATTGTTTATGGTTTAATTAAATATGGCGGCTTAAACTAAACGTGATCAAAATGTCGCATTGAAAATTACTGGTATGAAGAAATGTAATAAAATAGTTGAATGCTTGCAGGAAAACAGTTTTTAATACGTGGAAATGTTTCAAGAGGAACTTTTTTTTCTTTTTTAAATATACGCTCTTAAATAGGCGTCGGGGGGAGTCATGAGTGATGTATATTGACTTGCTTCATTGGGGAGTTTCGGGTCTTTCAAAATCATACACCCCATCACCAAGCCAAACCCAATCAGGGGAGATCAATCCCTGATTCCCCCCTCTGCAATCAAATGCTAGCAGAGACTCTGACTCTTTTAATAAATTGGACGAAAATAGACCACGTTTTTCGCGCACCCGATTGGATGTTTGTAAGGACCAATGCACTGCGCGAACTGATTTTTAAATGGTCCACGGGAGGGGGGACTGTTTTTTTTTCCTTTCCTTTTTTTTTAATAGGAGTAACAAACAATATGACTAAATTCAATTCCAGGAAGAAACTGTTCAGTTCCTACAGGGGAGAGCCATTGAAGTCGTCAGGAGGAGGGTGAAGAGAAGAGAAAGAAAGCTGGGAGGAAGAAAGATGGCAAAACAAGTGGATAGGAAGTTGGGTCGGATGATTAGCAAAGGTGGATTTAGGGCTAAAATGATGAAAGATTCAAGAACTACAGTTGCTATCTCAAGTGCCTCCCATCAAAAAATGGTTTGGCAGAGGAAAGAAAATGTTAAAGATGCAGTTTGCAGCAGATAAAATCATTGTTTGTTTTGTTTTTCATTGGGAAGGCTGTGGTCAAATTCGCCAGGAAGCATTGCCGAAAATATTAGAACCCATTTCAAACGACAGAAACCAATTAGTATCATGGTTTAGGCTGCAGTTGCTTTTGATGGTTCGAAATTGCTTTTTAGGGTTCATTGAAAAATGAGTGAAAGCAAATGACAGTTTACCAACAAATTCTGGAGAGAGATCTATTGCCTTGGTTGTCGGCCACATTTAGATGCCGATGTCTTCAGTCCAGACAATTTCTGTGGATTTTTATGCACCCTCAATTTGGCTTCTATCAAACCCCGGCATGAATCCTATGAACTTTGCAATATGGCCCATATTGGGATGCGATATTTCACGTATCACATACTTAAGTAGGTCAGAATTAAAAGAAGCTTTTATGATGATGTGGTAGAAGAAGACATGCACTTCAGTTGAGAAGAGATTAAGTGCTATGATGAAAATAAAAAAGAGTCCATTTTGAATTGAAAATACATGTTAAATATTATCTATAATTATAACAACTAACCTGCAAACTTTCATTAACCAAAGCCTAAAACGTTTTGTATTTTAAAACGAATAATGGGTAAATATATATGCCACACCC